TTTAGAGTAGAAAAAAATATTATTAAAGGTTTTGATTAATGACTTAATCTTCTAAATATATAGCCATAAATTTAAACTCAAAAGGAAATAACAAATTCTAGAAATAATTCAATTAATTAAACATTTATCTTTTTTAGTGAGTATTATTTTATCAGTTGGAATGCTGATAATGCATAATTAATTTATTCTTATTTCTCTATACCTTTTTTTAGTTAAGATCAAATAGAAACTCAAGTGAAAAAGGAATATGACAATTACAATATAGTAAGTAATTTAGAAGAAATAAAAAGGATAGATAATTTGCATTTACTAAGTCTAATTGTGTTAAATTAGTAAAGTTTTAGTAATTATATTGCTTTAATTCACTATTAATAATAATTATTTAAATTAGAAAAAGATATATGAATTCAAAAGAATGTTAGAATAAATTAATAACAAATTTTGATTGGCCAAGCTGCAATATTAAAACACGATCTAATAAATATAAAAAGAATAGCATACATTCTGAAAAATGATCAAAATTTTAAAGAATATAAATTCTGTTAATGTTTTGATAGTATATCCAGCTTCAAAAATTGGAATACTAGCTTGAAATTATAGTTAAATGAGAAAGAAATAAATAATATATGTGTTTCTAATAAGAAGGTGAAAGAAGGAACGAAATTAAACTGATATAGTTTTAAACTCATTACAATAAATTTGAAGGAATATGAACTTGCAGTTGTCGAATATGAAAAAGTTTTAAAAAGAAGAAAAATTAATTCTCTAGAAATGTTTTATTATTGTATAAGGCTATGATTAAAATTAATTGTTACATTATTTTATAATATTAACAAAATTTAAATCTAATGCAAAAGAGAGAATAATTGTAAGTTGTAAAGAAATAATAAATGGAATATTCTCACTTATAAGAATAAGCTCTTAAAAATATGGAGGGAAATTTAATAATAAGTAGAAGCGAAATGGCTGTCTTGATATTATAATTTATAATTTATAGTAAAAACATTACTTCCCAATTAGATTAGGATAAAGAAATGCATTAATTATTTATGAAAAATGATAATAACTTCATTAATCATGATATAATAGGTTTAGATCAAAATAATATTTATATTAAAATGGATGAAAAAATACAATTGAATTTAATTAATAGTATGATCGTTATAACATCAAAAAAATGAGTAATTAAAATTGAAAAAAACAATATTAAGAACTTTTAAATAAATTGATGATATTAGGTTCAATAGAATTTCTATAAGAATTTCTCTTTAGTATTATAGTAGTTCTAAGTTAGCATATTATTAAAACCTAATTATTTATTAATATCATATTTTAATAATAAAAAAATAAATATACAATTAATTTATACCTTTATTCAAAATTTTTATTATGTTTTTATATTAAAAATTTCATTCAATAATCAATTTGAAATGTTAATAGTTTTCTTGAGAAAGTTTCGTATTTCTTATATATTTTAATGTAAAAGGACAATCAACCTAAATTTTCAGTTTATTTCTTTAAATTCTGATTAATATTGAATATAAATAATTGATTTAAATTCAGGATATTTCAACATCATCTTATGAGAAACAAAATTTACAATTTCTATGAAATTTGTTGAAAATATTAACCGATAAAGAAAGAGAGATTATGATTAATCTTTTCAGAAGATTATTTTTGATGCCATTAATTAATTTTCTTCATTGCTACCATAGTTATATTCTCAAATAAATATTTATACAACCAAGAAATTGATTAAATTTAGAATTTCATGAGTTAATTATTTTTTTATTTTTTATATAAAATTGGTTCAAAAGGAGAAAATCTATATAAGATTAATCATTCCATCAATAAGTTATTTTATTAAATATTCAATAAAATATAAAACAATTAAAAGATTGAAAACTCTATCCAAGAGATATAATCTTCATTTTCTATATGTAATTTTTTATGATATAGATGTTTATCAAATTTTTTATGATTATCTTCTAAATTTCAATTTTAACTTAAAGTTAATCCAATAATTATCTTAAAAACTTGTAATTATTAAATTGGAAAATTATAATTAGGGAAATTATTTATCCTAAAATAAAATACTTAATTCGATTGAATTACTTTTAATTCCTTAGTATTTTTCAAAATTGATAATGGATTCTCCCACTATACTTACAATACCACAAGAAAAACCATGAGTAATAAATTTCGAAGATGAAGTTGTTTAAGAAATTACAAATTGATTAATATATATCACTCTATAAAGAAAAGTAACAAAAATTGTAACTATTATAAATTAAAATTTCTGAATTACATTACATTTTATAAGAATTCAAAAAAGTAAGAGGAATGAGTAGAATAATGATGATAAGCTGCTTTAAGATTCTAATTATTTATTGTAATAAAAAGAACTAGAATTTAAATATATAAACATACTTAAAGCGAAATTATACAAGATCAATAAAAACACTTAAATAATACAAAAACAAAATGATGATTTCAAGATAGGAATTGCTAAAAAGAAAGAAGAAAATATTAATTAGACTGAGTAATTACAAACATCCATATTATTAAATTCTATTACTTTTTCAAAAACTTATAAATACTCAAGATTTTATGAGTCATAAAAGGAAAGCTTTTTTATAATTAGGGAAGATTTTTATCATTTCTATGCGATTAAGCTATCCCTAATCAAGATATAAGTGAGATTTGGTTATTTATTTAATACATGATATCGGAACTAATTAGACAATGGTTGGAATAGGAGCTAGATAGATAATCTATAAATCCGGGAATTTAATATCCATATTTCAGAATAAGTGTATTTAATATTTAAACTTTTGGAGCCTATTTTTAATGAGTAGTAGTTATTATTTCAGTCAGAAATATCATAATTCAATTCCATTCACTTTTAATAAAATGATTTCATCATCATAGAAGTTTAGATAGAAAAAACAATATCAATGAATAAAAAAATCTACAAAATAATCTTTTGAAATTTTTTATTAATCTGTAGCTCCTTGAAATATATCCACATTATTCGTATTATCCATGTATTAATGGTCCAGGAAAAGTTGAAATATTAAATGAAATAAATTCATGAAATTCTAAATAAAATAATTGATAATATATCTAATTTCCTTTTTATCTATATTCCACTATACAAAATTTTGGCTAAGTCCACTTTTTATGAAATTTTCGTAAATGTTGTTAAACTGCAATTTCAAATTAATTTATATGAAAGTAATTACAAAAATCAAAAGAAGTGTTTTAGCAATTAAATGCAAATGTAACATATGCTCAGAGGATAAATATCAAGTTATTTTATTTTTTTATAATATAGTTTTTATTTTTTTTATTTTTTGCAACTCTAGAAGTCGTAGATGAGATAAATATTACATAAGAATTTAAAGAGCAAATCAAATTTATTTTGAAAAATTCACCAAATAATTAAATTTATGAATAACTAATAGATAATGACAATTATAAGGATGGGTAGAATCATTTAATTATGGATCCTTCTAAATGAAATCAAGATTAGATAAGATTAAAAAATATCATAAAATATTTTAATTTGTAAATAATCAAGTTTTTATGTTTAGATTTGAGAATACTCTTAATCATGAATAGACTTTTCAAAATACTTGGCTATGAATTTTATAACTATTTTATCATGACTGTTATTAAACTTAAATAAATTTATTTTTTTTAAACTTGATCTTGCTTTTTCCTAAATTGAAAAATATTATCTTTGAGAATTATTAACTATTTAATCATCCTATATTTTATATCAAAGAATTAGAACCTAAAATTATAAAAAAATAACCCAATCTAATTTAGAATACTTTATTTTTGAATACATCATTAAGATGATTAATAATATAATTCTTATATTGATTTGCTTTTAAAAAAACATGAAGCATATTGGACCGAAAGAAATAATTATTTTTTAAACCTTTAAGAATATCTTAAAATGCATCAATATAATGGTTCTAGTAATTAGAATTAAAATTTATGTTTCTCATCTGATTTATAAAGTATGATATTACACAATCATTTTAGGTACAATATAAGCAGATGAGAGTATTTTTTATCATGGATTAGCATTTTAATTTAGAAAAATAAAAGAAGGAGCTGCTTTTTAGAATTTTATTAACTCTTAGGTCTAAAAGTCTTCAGGGATTAATTAAATAATTGCCATTTAGAAATTTGTCTTCTTCGTGTAAGAAGAATATCTTTTACTCTTCTTTTTAATCTCTAATTTTTTTAATGGAGGTCATTAATTCACAAAAATCATCAAAGAAACATAAAAATTAAAGATTGGCCAACTGATATTAAGGAAAGAAATTTGCAGGGTGAGTTTACTTAATTAAAATGAAAAAAATAACACTAATAGTATTAATAATATTATTGCATAGACTAGACAAAACAAAACAATTTTAGTTATTCTTCTTATCATCTAAATCATAATGAAAGTAATTAAGTATTGTTTTAACAAAATCCATGATTGTAGAGCTGCTGAAAAATGAAAAAGGCATAGCTATAATTTACCTTAGAATGTATTATATTTTTAATTTAAATATCTAAAAAATTTCAATAAAATTTAAATATATAAATAAGTGAATATTTAGTTGCCATATTGCATTTTATAAAGACATACTTAATGATATAGAAGTTAATTCTTAAATTGATATTTAAAAAGTGAAAATAAGTTAAAAATATCTTATTATCATTTAATATTATCAATTATTTGTGATTGTCCCTTATATTGCTTTTTTGAAATTCAATTAATTATTTATTTTAAATTTTCCATCATTCATTTTTCTAATAATATAAATATAAGATTTATGTCATAATACTATCTAATTCTTCTCCTTATTAGTTAAACTTTTCATAATCTGATAAAAGATTATATAACTTAATAATTGAAGCATTATTTATATTATTAATAAGTACTTTTCCTAGAAACAGAGGAGTTAGTGTTTTTGCACTTAATGTAATTATCTAATTTATCATAGAAATTGTATTATTTGAACTATTCTTTAAAAGC